TACGGTGTAAATTAAGGTTGCCTCTGTAATCATGAAATTGGAGGGACTGGATTTCTCTGGCAGCCCTCGTAACTTTGTCGATTAGTTTGGCCCAGCTTCATCTCTAGCATCTGCTGTGAGTGCATTATCCGGCGGCCGTCATCTCGTCCGTGCCACGCATCTGGCAGATGGTCCAATAAAACACATTCTTTCCATGCGCAAAAGTTATCAAACTCAGCAAAAGAGCAAACATTACTTGGATTACTCCGCTCGGCGTCGATTGGGTTTAATGTCCGGAAAATACCTGGAACGCACCCTGGGGCAAATCTACCGATGGGAAATTCTTGAGGTGACCGTAATAATCAAACTCGGGGTATTTGGCCGCGAGAGGTCAGAGGAATGCAATGGTTGTCGATGCCGCTGTTTCAGTTGTCAGTGATTGGAATTCTCAGCACTGCTTCGACGAGGTTTCCGCCCCTCCTGCTGGGCGTAGCTCCTTTGACGATCCAAATGGCTCAAGAGATTGCATAAGGTCATCGACTTGCGAAAAGTAATGAAAGGTCACTTGCCTTTGAAATCTGCAAAACTGGTTGAATGCCTACTGTCCTTCCTCTATGTAACTTTAAATTACATAGTGTATATTTTTGTTTTTTTCTGAGCTTAGTAGTAGGTGCACAACTTTCAGTGATGCGGCAATTGCATTCGGGTGTTTACTTTGTGCCTAAGGAGCTAGCCACATAGCAATAGCTCTTTTCGTTCTCAAAAAGTGTGAAAAGCATTCAGTCTAAGTGCATTTGTCCTTTGCCGCCCCACCTCTCCTTGGTTTGTGCTTCGTTACATTTCCTTCCGAGCATGCCGCCACGAAAGGCCACGGATCATGTAACGAAAACAAAGTCATGAAGATGCACCGTGGGTTACGCCCGAGGGCCGCTTGATCATTGTCCATGTTGCACTTTAACCTCATGGCTAACAACCGGGCGTCCTTCACGCCCACTGTGACAAGTCAACTCCAGCCGAGTTCAGGCAGCAGATGCGCCGAGGGATGTCCGTCCTCGTCTTCGATGTGGTCTGTTGCCGTTTGGACGGCTAAATAATCGTCATCGGCGGCGCGGGTCACTGTTGCGGCAAGGTCGGCTGAAGGCAGGCCGTGTGCCGTGGTAGTCCCGCTTGCCACCGGAGGAGCGGGCTGAGCCCGCGAGGCAGCGAGGCTCGGGCTCTGCCGACATACCAGCCCAACCCAGTGTCAGGCCCGGCTGACCAGAGGGTCAGCGACCCCGGTCCGGCGCCGCCACCGGCCCTGTTTTACCGCTTGACCTTGTGGAAGGTGAGTAGCCACGACGCCGCCCCTGGGGCGGGGCCGGCTTTTTATCCGCGCCGAGCCGACCTGAAAACGGGCCTCGCTCAGCCTCGCCGGCTGCGGTGTCCACACGCCTGCCGGCGAGAGGTCTGGGATGCGGCCGCGGCGATCGCTGCGCCGTGGAGCCGCGTTCCAGTGGCCGGGAGCGGCCGGGGCGCGGCGCCCCTGCAGAGGCCGGGCCGGCGCGCCGGCGCAGCCGCTGGCCAAACCGCACCAATCGCGCCGCCGGATCCGGCGCCGGCGTGCCGCGCCGCCGCGAGCCGGTGCGGACGGGTCGAGCGCGTCCGATCGGCTAATCCCACCGCTGGGACAGCTGGAGCGTGTCGAGCGAGCCTTTGGGCCGTGCCGACCGGGTCAAACGGGCGGGACGAGCGGGACAAGCGGGACGAGTGGGACGAGCGGGACGAGCGGGACGAGTGGGACGAGTGGGACGCGCGGCGCGGCCGGGCCGTGGTCGGGCCGTGGTCGGGCCGTGGTCGGGCCGTGGTCGGGCCGTGGTCGGGCCGTGGTCGGGCCACGGCCGGGCCGTGGTCGGGCCGTGGTCGGGCCGTGGCCGGGCCGTGGCCGGCGGTGCGCGCCGCTTGCAGCGTGCGGCACGGCTGCCGGCCGGTCCATGACCTGCCGGCCGGGCCGCCGCCGAACCGGCCGCGAGCTGCAGCCGTGGCTGTTGACCCCAGCTGGCTGATGTTATCCCGTCCGATGACCGGTGGCGCGACCTGGGCGCCCCCTGTTGAGTCACGCTGCAGGTCACGAGACACGTCTCACGGCCAACGATCCGCTGTGTTTTGCAAGCGATAGAACAAATTAATGACGTAGTTCTGGGATGGCATTGCACCCGACTGGCCTTAAATCTACGTATGGAGTTGAATGTGCATGGTCGTCCACTGGATGTTAGCGTCATACGTACGGTCGTACATTGTTATCTGCGCTTTCGTTCAGCACCCGCAGATGTGGTGCCAACGCAGTCACACAAGAGAAGGGAGTCGATCTCATGCATGCACAAAATCTTCGACCCGTTCACAGGGCCCAGCCGGCCGTTAGTAACACCTCGCTACTCTGCGCGTTAAAGAGCCGGCTGCGGACCGAGAGGTCAAGGACGGTCGGTTACTGACCTAAGCCCCACTCAGCCGCCAATCAAAAGATCGGTCAAAAAGGCATTAGACAGATGTAATTTATCTACCTAGCGAAGCGTATCCGATGGAGTTTTAGGGACCAAATAAGGTCGAGGTAGCATAATTAATCTCGAACTGACGTGCTTCTTGCGTCGGGAAATTAGTCGCCGTTGGGAGATAAAACCCCACACGCATGATAAATATCACAGGGAGCGTTAATGATATTTTAAATGCCAGCATTTTCTTTCCAGGCATGACTTACCCCCGTCTGTTCTTGAAAAATAGAGCGTGCTAGATTCCCGAAATGATCTGCTTGACTGCTTCGCTGTGCTACTGAAAATAGCTGATTGCGCTGCCTTCTACGTGTGGTGATTTAGGTAAGAAATGAAATGCCGCAGGTTTTCTAAAGGCCAAATCCTCAGATGTGCATCCATCCTGCATGTGACACCTTAAAAGTGGTATGCGATGACGTTATCATAACGAGGCAGAGTTCACGTCCAGCCCGTTGTTCCGCATCGCTTCCTGTATTCGCCTGTGCGCCAACTCCGGCTGTGACCTCTGCAGCACCTGATCAAATCTGGCGTCATCAGACCAGACTTGTCTGCGCAGACGGACGAGACGTCATACCACCTCCTTGTTCTGGATGAGTCGTTAACGAGAGCTGCCAAAGTTTCGCAATTCCCGCAGCGGCCGCCGGCCGCGGTCGGTCGTGGCGCACATCAGCGCCAGCACGTGCGGCCGGCGGGCGCGGGCGCGGGCGCGGGGACCGGCCCGACCGGCTGGTGCCGACGCATCACGCGCGGCTCGTCAGTCCTCAACTCGCGACTATGCGCCGCCTAATTGCGATGGTCCCGCCGCAAGCGCCGTGTGTCGTCACAGCGCCGGCTTTTTCTCGGCGCTCGTTATCGGTCACTGCCAAGGTCGGCTGGCCACCTGCGCTCGCGCGCCACGGGCCGTAACCGCGCGCGCCGGCGGCCGGCCGCCGCCGCCTGTCATAACTCACCGGTACGGGCTAATTGAATGAGTTATGTGAGCGTCTTTGGCCATGGGGCGGAGTGCGATATGTCAAATGAATATGCTCATTAGTTATTTACGTGCTTTGCCATCTGTCTAGCATGCGGATAGGATGATGTATTTTTTATTTCCGCTATTGATCAGCGTGTTTGCTACGTGGTGCTTAAGAAATTTCTTAAATCCCTTTTTTGACGGCACGCAATAGAGAAATAATTGATGACATTCCAGCGGAGTTTTTATCATCATGACTTCTGTCATTTTCTTCCACCTGGTGATGTAATTGCGCAATTATGTCCCAGGCGTAATGATGAAGGGTGAGGACCCGGCAGAGGACCCCAAACGTCTACGCATAAGTACATCTAAGCTATAGCGGGTTGCATATCTTCCCAGGAATTATTGGCATTGCCATCTGGTGACAGGCTCTCCAAGCTTCAGTTCAAAACTTGTGTTTTGGAACAAAAATTGCAATTTTCTCCTCGCCGACAATGCACCTTACCTCGATCCCCACGATATCCTTGTATTTCACCACGTCGATTTGTAGCATTTCTGCCGGTTTCCATACCATAGGTGTAGCAACATCCGAGGGATTGTAGACAGACCATTTAAGATCTGGGTAACAATTAACCATAAACATTGTTTTCAACAGGGAAGTGAGAAAACGACAATTTGTGACCAGCACTGAAAGGGAGACTAAAGCCCACTCCAGAGCAATTCTGAAGGGGTGACGTGTCGCCCAAGCTATTCATGGGTGACGTGTCGCCCCAGCTATCGAGCGGCTACACTCACGTCTGGTACACAAGAACGCGCCGATGGGCCCGTGAGTCACCGGCCCCGTGCTCGAGGACGCAGCGCTCGGGACGATAGCGCCCGCCCCGCGCTGAGTGACGCGACTTTCGGCAGGCTCACGATGCGGATGTCGGTGACGGCGTGCGCGCTGGCGGCGCTCCTGGCGCTGAGCTGCGCGCCCCAGGCCAGCCAGGCCGCCTACTGGGGCGACGACCGGACGCCGCTCACGAGGGCCACCATGCCCCGCGGACACGTGGAAAGCCCGCCCGGCGAGGGGCCGGCGGCCGAAGCGCTGGAGAGGCTCACCTACAGGGACTACAGCAGCGCCCCGGCCATCCGCACCCCTGCTGGGAATGGTGAGGCCACAGCACTGGACGCCGGGCCGGTTCATAGGCTTGAAACCTGTCACAGCGGCACGGGGGCGGGGGGGGGGGGGGGGGGGTCAACTTTGTTGCAGCTAATTAAGACTGATCTTATTCGTTTTGTCATCGCTTCAGGATGTGAAGAAACACTCTCGGCCTTTGCTAATCTGCGATCGATTGCGATAATGTCACGCCGTCTTGGTCTTCGTCACCACAATCAGCTACCTCGCGTTTAAGTGGGCTGAGTTCCAAGAATCAGCCACGCAACGCTACTAAAATTAATCGTGACCAAACACACCAACCGGCCACAGCGACCCTGACCACGACCGATCCTGTCAGTCCACACATCAGTGACCCTCCATTGAACCCATCGCTTGTCCCGCAGGATACAAGATCGTGTGCTACTATGGCGCGTGGGCCATCTACCGGGCGGAGCCGATGAGCTTCCGCCCGTCCGACGTGCAGGAGCAGGGCTGCACGCACCTCATCTACTCGTTCGCCGGCCTGCACAACAAGACGCTGGAGATTGTCAGCCTGGACCCCAAGCTCGACATTGAGAAGGGTGAGCACCGCTCTGGTGCTCCTGGCTTCGGCCCGCTCGTCGGGACGCTCCTGACGGGCGTCACCAGTCGATGGACGACCCGTTGTTGCGGTCACGCGAAAGATAGATGACAATGGGTTTCCCCAGTCTGGTCCATCGCTTAAGATGTATTGCAGTCCTCTTCCGGGAAATCCAGCACTGCTTTACGTTGCGTTTAAAATGTGTGTGGTTAATCGGTAGCCCCGTGGATGCACTTGCCTTTGTGGTTATTTTACGACCCGTAATTGACGAAGCCTGACATTTCATGGCACTGTAAGCGACCCTAGCATGCGACAGTGCCGGAAGACGTTCCGTGGGCGGTGCAGAGACGTGACGACTTATTGCCATCACAGGTGGTTATGCCGAGGCGATCGCTCTGAAGCAGAAGAACCCCCAGCTGAAGGTGATGATCGCAATCGGGGGATGGAACGAGGGCGGCAAGAAGTACTCTGACATGGCCAGCACAGCCGCCAGCCGCACGCGCTTCGTCCGGTCGGCCACCGCCTTCCTCATGGAGCACAAGTTCGATGGACTGGACCTGGACTGGGAGTACCCTGGTGAGTTCGGCTGGCGCGCGGCCCGTTCCGCTGCGATGCGGCGGAAGTTGAGTCGGCCGGGTCAGATGGGCTGATTTGGCGCCTTCGATGCGCTCCACACCGAGGGCAGCTCTTGATAACGCAGTTTGGTTTGAGAACGACGCACGGGATCCAGCAATCAAAACAAGTCTGGCGAATCTTTAGGGCTGGAGCACGCTGAACGCTAACCAGGTTATGGGCTTCGCAGTAATAGCGCACTTGAGTGTTCAGCATTACCGTAATTATAGCAGCACTTTTGAATAATTTTGCATGGTCGCCAACCGATACATTGTCAGGTTTTCTCGGCATCACGAAGTGCTGAACAAAATTTAGGCGTCTCTTGAAAAGAAAAGAGACTCGAAAGACGCGATCTGTAGTTCAAACAAAGCAAAGCGCCGCCTCGAATTTCCAAAGGGATCTCAGGGCTCTTAATGAGATTAGTGCCTAGAAACAAACTTAAGATAGTTTTTTTTTAGTTTTGCGAGTTTGAGAGATTAATTCGCTGCTCTGTAGAAAGTTCTTGAAATTCTCCAGATTTCACAGCGCCGGGTTGGTACCCTTAGTGATAATAAAGCAAGCCCAATGTCTGTATACATAAGGCTCATCACGACTGGTACCTTCCTCAGGCGCCTCGGACCGCAACGGCACGTGGAGTGACAAGGAGAACTTCGCGCTGCTAGTGGAGGAGCTATACGCGGCGTTCCAGCCGCACGGCCTGCTCCTCTCGGCGGCCGTCTCGCCGGCCGGCTTCCGCGTCAACGAGGGCTATCACGTGCCGCGCCTCTCCGCCAAGCTGGACTTCATCAACGTGATGACGTACGACCTGCGTGGCCCCTGGGAGAACTTCGCCGACCATCACTCGCCACTGCACCGCCGCGAGAGCGACAAGTGGAGCTTTGCCAAGCTGAACACGGTGAGTAGTGCTCGGCCAGCGGCGTGTCGGTGCGCAGTCAGGTGGGAGCTGGCCGTCGTGCAAAGTTAGCGTTATTGGGGAGCGGGTGTAGGGACATGTTGACGGGCAAAAGAAATGAAGATGGCATAAAAATGTGCACACGCGGACTAGTAACGTCGTTTAATATGTTTTGTCAGTAGCTGGCGCTGTAGTAACGTCATTCTGGACAGAGAAGCTCAGATACTATCTGTTGAATTCTATTTTCGAGCATGCTTTAGTTCTAATTTCGTGTCAGCAGACCTTTCGGTCGTACCTGTTCAAACCAGACACCTAGTCAGGTCGTGACTTTTGTTATTACCATGGAATGCTGCCAAACTTTGTCGGCAATTAGCTTACAGTGATATTTTTAGCGAAACGTCCTCCAGAAGCATTACTATCGTGTGACGGTCCCAAAACATATTAAAGCCTGACGCCCACTGTTTTCTTCTCGGCAGCGCGACGGGCTGAAGCTGTGGATCGAGAAGGGGGCCGACCCCAAGAAGGTGCTGCTCGGTGTGCCGTTCTACGGCCGCTCGTTCATGCTGCGAGGCGCCGACACGACGCCTGGAGCCGCCTCGACCGGCGCCGGCCCGCCGGCCATGTACACCAAGGTCAGTGGTACCCCGGGCGTGGGCTGCGGCGCGGCTCAGGTGCCTACCCGCCGGCCATGTACACCAAGGTCAGTGGTACGCCGGACGTGGGCTGCGGCGCGGCTCAGGTGCCTGCCCGCCGGCCATGTACACCAAGGTCAGTGGTACGCCGGGCATGGGCTGGGGCACGGCTCAGGTACTGGCCTGCCGGCCATGTACACCAAGGTCAGTGGTACGCCGGACGTGGGCTGCGGCGCGGCTCAGGTGCTTACCCGCCGGGCCGGTCCGGCCGGCGCGCCAGCCATGCCGTGGTGGCATCACAGCGTCCACAGACACCCAGTGCAGGCCTGCTCGGGCTTGGTATGCTATCGGAATCAGTTGAGCAAGTGCCCTGAAACCATTTGAGTATCAGATGCATCTAGCATCAGGATCTGACCGGGAACAAACAGGCAATTTTGTGTCGGGTCATGGTTTTCCCCCTGCCGAAGTTTTGACTTCAAGTCTTATGGTGACTGCGTCGTTCGGCACTTATACTAGAGCTAATTGTGGAGCTTTCTTAGAATGTGTGATGATTGCACCAGCTCATATATTTTTCCGTTAACGTTCAAGTGGTAAAAAGTTTTGGACTTTACTGTTTAATAGCGAAGTGCTAACAACATGATATGAGTTGTAAGTAACAACCATATGGACTGCAAATTTTTACACTATCTAGATTAATAAACAGGAACAGATTGCAATTGGTTTGGTAGCTAAAACGCAATTTTTTCTTCAGCTACATTTAATATTGCATGCACTGCTATAGCAAGAGGAACATACTGCTTTCACGTATTCTTGTATACAAGTTGAGCTGCATGCGTTGAGCTTCCAAAAATGTGCCCTGTAGGAGAAAGGCTACTGGGCTTACTTCGAGGTGTGCAAGACGCTGGCGCAGGAGCCGGGCTGGACGATCAAGAAGGACGGCGCCGGCGGACCTTATGCCTACAAGGACAAAGCCTGGGTCGGCTACGATGATTACTCATACGTCTCCAAAAAGGTGAGGCCGGGTGCAAATCAGCGTTGCTCATGGGCCGTGGGCCACAGCGTGGGAAATGTTGTTGGCGTTTGGAGAAACGGGCTGTACTACACGATCCGCTGAGCGTTATGAAGCGCCGTGTTACGTCCCGCATCTCAGGTCACATCTCCTCCGCTGCGTCTCCCATTGACGCCGCCCGTGCTGCTCTCGCGCCGCAGATGGACCTGGTGAAGGAGCTGGGACTGGGCGGCGCCTTCGTCTGGGCGATCGACCTGGACGACTTCCAGGGCGTGTGCGGCGGCAAGTGGCCCCTGCTCCGCGCTATCAATGAGAAGCTCAGCACCGACGGCATGATGACCATGAAGCCCATGACGACCATGAAGCCCATGACGACCATGAAGCCCATGACGACCATGAAGCCGGACACCATGAAGCCGGACACCATGCCTGGGACAATGACCACGATGGAGTCCATGACCACCATGAAACCTATGGCGACCGAGAAGCCTTCCACCATGATGGAGAAGCCGACCACGACGTCCTCCCGTGAGTCCACAGATCGTGGCGTTGGTTTGGTCGGTCGTCCGATGGCTTAGGTCTTTTAAAGATGTTAAGCTCAATGCCACGTGTAACGCGCTTTGCCTGAAGCGTCAGTGGCTGTCATTACAAATTCGCACAATTTACCACCCGTGCGAAGCATTTTTTGTTGTTTCATGTAAAAACAAACTGTTTCATTTCTCTCACAAAAATAAGGCTGAAAAGTTTACGATGCGATCCCCTATTTCCGGCTAATTTCCATCTGCTTTGCGTGGATCCCTTCTTATTCACCTCCGCCCAAAACAGCATTATTGCGACAACAATGCCTGTCACGGTCACTTATCTGCTGTAAAGGCGCGACAACAAGTCTGCCCTGGCACAATAGCTACTGCCGTCTCATCACTAACGACGCCGCCGCGAGGGCTGCCTCGGCTGCCGCTGACAGACAGGTCAACAGATGGACACACGCTCAGGCAGGCGCACATCCTGGGACGGGCTTGTGTTTGTCACCGACGGTTACGTAACCACTGCAAAACTATGGTTGTCAGGGGCTCCTGGGTTTGGAGCCGGATCACAAGCGCGCTCTGACGTCATTGCGTCTGCGGTTTCAGCATCGACCGGCGCGACGTCGCTGCCGTCGAGCCAGGACGAGTTTAGCTGCCCTGCGGACGGCTTCTTCCGCGACCCGCACAACTGCAAGGTCTACTACCACTGCTCCAACGGCATGGGCCACAAGTCGGTCTGCAACGACGGCCTGGTGTTCGACAGCGAGAAGAACGTCTGCAACTGGGCGGACCAGGTGTCGGATTGCCCGAGCGGTGCCGGCATGGTCGAAGAGGAAGGACTCGGTGAGCTTTACCGGCCAACGGCGCGACGTCAGGCTCGCGATGCTGGTGACGCCCTTGCGGTGTCGCCAGGCTCCATGCGAATCCCATGGCTGAGAAACACAGGCTGTCACGTAGGGTTCTGCTGGCCAAATCCAATTTGTGGAGGTGTTTTGGATGGCGACTGACAGAAAAAAACTTTAGTTTTATCGCTAGTGCTTATGTCATGGCAGCGAATTACGCGCCACAGCAGCTCATTAACCCAGTGCACATTCCACAAGCCCGCGTCGTTTCCAATTTTCCACCCACGGTCACAAGGCACTCGGCCACCAGACTCTTGTTAGGTTCAACTGGCTCATTGTAAACTTGTCACAACCACGTTTTGAGACTGTAGGGAAAAGTTCGCGTGGTGATTCCACCGGAACGAGGACTGTTCGATGACAACTTTGAAAATGTAATTCATCGCGAAACATAGAGATTAAACTATTGCGCAAACTTACCTGCAAAGGTATGCCAGCTACTGCAGCTTGCTCTCCACTCACGACCCCAAGGCACCCAGTCACCGGACCCACTTCCGCTTCCTCTCATCACCTCTCTACATCACACCGATTCGAAGTCCCCTGGAGGTGCCCTGGCGACCTCGGCGGCCCCTGAGATCGCGCTGATGCCCCCAAGCGGCCACCAGACGGCCGTCAGCTGACCGGGGGACGACTGTGCCGGCAGACGGGCGCGAGCCGCCCACGTTCCAGTGCCCCCGCTCTGGCAGCGGGCTCTTCTCCAGCCCGGACGACTGCAGCATGTACGTGTGGTGCAACCAAGGCCGCACGCACCAGCTCACCTGCGGGCCGCACATGCACTTCGACACGCGCTCGGGCACCTGCAACTACCCCAACAGGGTGCAGTGCCAGCGCGGCGTGGCCACGCGCGTGGCCGGCATTGGTGATGACCTGGGCCCGGACATGGTCGCCACTCGAGCCTCGCAAGGTGAGCGTCACTGGCGGCAGCACGTGGTGGCTGTGCTGTTTGCAAACCGCAAGGTCTCTTCCCTATACACCACGCAGCAAACGCACTGCATTACAGCCAACATCCGGCACCGGTGCCTGACCGGCGTTCCTGACTACAAACGAGCAAATTTTTCCACATTTTTTTTACAACGGCATCTGGATAAAGCCTGAAAGGCGTTAAGCCTATCCTCATTGTGAACGTCTGTCGTGGGAATTGCGTGATGTCTTCATACGTTCTCTAGAGGAATCGTTCGATCTCGTACGCTGACAAAAGTTGTTGCATGTTACAGAAAGCCCACTTGTTAGCCATTTGATGCGCCGGAGAGGCATTGCAACATGATGTAGCACGTCCGACAAGCTATTTCTGTGACATGGCGGGGTGACTTTTCAGATGCGTAGGAAGGTGGCTAAAGGCTCTTAAAACTCAGCGAGAAAATTAGGAAGCAAAAACATGTCAGCTACAATTAGCTCTGACAAGTATTTTTCTCGCCGCCACAGCCTTAATGCTGTTGACGCACACAGCAGCCTGCTTCATAATTCCCGCGAGCGCCTCGGATAAATCCAATTTGCCTCCGTGATGTATGTCAAAAGAGAGCAGTATATCTCTCCGCTGCAGATTCCTGCTTGTTTGGTGTATCCATACCACCTCACAGAGTTTTGGTGCTCAGAACTCAGACAAGCTCCGGCTGCAGAGATAAGGCCTTTAACAGTGGCATTATTTCTTATCAAGAAACTCGGGACGTAACGTATCAACATTTTTACGTACGCTTGCATTAAGCTTTTAACTTCCTCGAACAGGTGAACATTGGCATAACATGAGCTGCAACATAAGACGTGAACAAAGCAAAGCATGTACGCCACCAGAGTCTTTGCAGCTCATAGACATAGACTGCATCACTTGCGGTATCACAGCTGTCTTCAGTGACAGTTTTAGAAGTGACGAAACGTTATTGAGCACGAACCGCACCTGTTCACAGACAACAAGGTGGTCTGCTACTTCACCAACTGGGCGTGGCGGCGCGAGGGCGGCTCGGCCTTCGCCCCAGAGAACATCGACCCGACGCTCTGCTCGCACGTCATCTACGAGTACGCCGTGCTCGACCCGAACGAGCTCACGCTCGTCTCATTCGACGAGTGGACGGACTTTGACAACAGTGAGTGAGCCGCAGGGGCGTACTCGTATTCACTGCGGTGGTACGTGTGGCGGGACGGCGCGGACCGCCAGTGGGCGTGATGTCCGCGGAGGGCTCCCCACCGCCAGTGGGCGTGATGTCCGTAGAGGGCTCCCCACCGCCAGTGGGCGTGATGTCCGCGGAGGGCTCCCCACCGCCAGTGGGCGTGATGTCCGCGGAGGGCTCCCACCGCCAGTGGGCGTGATGTCCGTAGAAGGCTCCCACCGCCAGTGGGCGTGATGTCCGCGGAGGGCTCCCCATCGCCAGTGGGCGTGATGTCCGCGGAGGGCTCCCCACCGCCAGTGGGCGTGATGCCCGTAGAGGGCTCCCCACCGCCAGTGGGCGTGATGCCCGTAGAGGGCTCCCCACCGCCAGTGGGCGTGATGTCCGCGGAGGGCTCCCCACCGCCAGTGGGCGTGATGTCCGCGGAGGGCTCCCCACCGCCAGTGGGCGTGATGCCCGTAGAGGGCTCCCCACCGCCAGTGGGCGTGATGTCCGTAGAGAGCTCCCCACCGCCAGTGGGCGTGATGTCCGCGGAGGGCTCCCCACCGCCAGTGGGCGTGATGTCCGTAGAGGGCTCCCCACCGCCAGTGGGCGTGATGTCCGCGGAGGGCTCCCACCGCCAGTGGGCGTGATGTCCGCGGAGGGCTCCCCACCGCCAGTGGGCGTGATGTCCGTAGAGGGCTCCCCACCGCCTAATGTCACGTGAGCGCGGCGTTCGCGGAGGCTTCCCATCCAGAAGCTAGTCGTGGCTCGTGTGAGGCACGGTTATGGGCCCCTGAATTTGGTCAGTAATATATTTGCCGACTTTAGTATAGGCCGCGTTTCAGTGTCTGGTTTTAGCCTACAATAGACCAGGGAGCCCGGTGCATGAAGGGGCGATGGAACGCCATCATCAATATTAATTACTCCTTCCGATGAAGTGGATGGGACTGTTGGTTCGAGGTCACAAAAAGTTTCGAAAATAACGTGCCCAAAAAAGAACTGTCATGTGCGGTTTACCCAAGGGTTCGTAGTTTTATATTCACCCAGAAAGGAGCTTTGCAAATTTAGGTTTGACTAAGCATGCTAACCTACTGAACATTAAAAGCTTCCAGCATAACGATATGCCCCTGGTCGGTGAAGCCACCGAACTTTCAACAGCTGATTGGTCTTTAAGTTCAGCTTAGCTTGCGTACAGACTATACTGACTTGTCATCGGTAGCACGGGAGCAGCGGTTTCCATACGTCAGTCACCGATATTCACTGATGACAGTAGTCTGAGCCGTCGATCCAATTTGATAATCAGATTCGATGGCTTCGCCTCGGTTTTTTTCTGCGGTGGTCTGTTTTAGCCCGGCGCTGCGAGGCCAACATTGTCTTGACTGGATGCCTCCATCGACTTGTCTAGTTGGGGGTCGGCCATTTTGAGACGTGCTGGGTCACTGCCACATGATTTCGGAGAATAGCACGATAAATTGAGTCAGATAACTGCCTTCAGCGGACCGGCGAACCGCGGGCGACCGTTCATTCTCCGGGGACCAAGGCTGGGATTAAATAGCTTTGTCGACGCCAAGGTGCTGTGACCATTTCATCAAGTCGTTCTTCATTATTCTTCTGAGGCTACATAATGCATATGCATTTGGTTTAGTTTCTCATGAATTTTTCATCAACGTCATTGGTGGGGAGGTATTCGAAGCTGTTCCTCCACAAGATATATTGTCTGTTGGTTGACATTTCTCTGCTTAGCCCCCCCCCCCCCCCCAGCGCATGATAATATTAAACAATATTACAAGTCAAGCACTTACCTTGTGGTGCGTTTCACCCCTGCAAAAGCAAATTTAAAAGTCTAGTGGTCTTTTAGCCCAAAAACTTGTTTGCAGCTCAAAATTGTCAAAACTGTTACTCGTTTAACTAAAAAAGCTGCATGGACACCAATGGGAGCATGGCCAGCAGCACACTTGAGCCGTTGACGGCACACCAGAATGTTGCACAAGTCGTCAGTGTAACGACCCGTCAGCTTTTCCGCGTGAGGATCGAGCCGTGTCAGTCACCTAGCCCCCAGGACATAACTTACAGTCATGTTTCCCGTGGAAACGTGGGGTCTCAATGGTCCGGGTCGACCTCGGCTAGGTCATATTTTAGCATTGGTTACCTGGTTATTTATTGCTGCTGTTCGCTGGCGAGGCCGGCAGCGACGCGCCATCTTTTCGCGTAACCTTTCACGTGCGTCTGTCCCGTCACGTGGCGCAGCGACCGGTGAAATATTATGTCGAGAATCGAACACGGCCCATCATCATCACCAGACCACCGCTAGTCATCATCATCAGTGTGTTTGCCTTGATGACCGCAGCAATATCATCTACTGTTCCTGCTCCCGTCTCTGCAGCAGTCGTGTTAGGATAATGTTTGAAGATATATATGAAGTTAGATTGATTCACACTACTGAACTTAATAGCAGGGCAGGGCCACTTATGGTGCTGAGCTTCAAACAACTGGCGGAAAAAGCGCAAACTTGTCGGCCAACGCTCCTGCAAAACGTTGCGAGTGTTCCGCATTATTTCATGTGATTTCTGCGTGGCGCAGTGAGGCCATTGCGTCGGTCTATGGCCTGCTCCGTACACACCCCAACTTGACCAGCTATCCCAGCCGGCCGGGTCGGTGGCCGGAACTTGACCAGCTATCCCAGCCGGCCGGGTCGGTTGTCAGGACTTGACCAGCTATCCCAGCCTGCCGGGTCGGTGGCCGGGACTTGACCAGCTATCCCAGCCGGCCGGGTCGGTGGCCGGGACTTGACCAGCTATCCCAGCCGGCCGGGTCGGTGGTCGGGACTTGACCAGCTATCCCAGCCGGCCGGGTCGGTGGTCGGGACTTGACCAGCTATCCCAGCCGGCCGGGTCGGTTGTCAGGACTTGACCAGCTATCCCAGCCGGCCGGGTCGGTTGTCAGGACTTGACCAGCTATCCCAGCCGGCCGGGTCGGTGGTCAGGACCTGACCAGCTATCCCAGCCGGCCGGGTCGGTGGCCGGGACTTGACCAGCTATCCCAGCCGGCCGGGTCGGTGGTCGGGACTTGACCAGCTATCCCAGCCGGCCGGGTCGGTGGTCGGGACTTGACCAGCTATCCCAGCCGGCCGGGTCGGTTGTCAGGACTTGACCAGCTATCCCAGCCGGCCGGGTCGGTTGTCAGGACTTGACCAGCTATCCCAGCCGGCCGGATCGGTGGTCAGGACTTGACCAGCTATCCCATCCGGCCGGGTCGGTGGCCGGGACTTGACCAGCTATCCCATCCGGCCGGGTCGGTGGTCGGGACTTGACCAGCTATCCCAGCCGGCCGGGTCGGTGGTCGGGACTTGACCAGCCATCCCAGCCGGCCGGGTCAGTCGGCGGATGCGCTCCGGAGCTGACACACGTGACCCCGTCGCCGGCAGACTTCATCGCCCGGATGCGGCAGCGGCTCGGTCCGCGTAAGCTGCTGCTGGCGCTCGGCGGCTGGACCGACTCGGCCGGCGACAAGTACAGCCGCATGGTGGCCACGCGCGCCAGCCGCGCCAAGTTCATCAGCTCGGCGCTCAGCTTCGTCACCGACTACGGCTTCGACGGGCTGGACCTGCAGTGGGCGTTCCCTGTGTGCTGGCAGGGCGACTGCACGGCCGGCGCCGCCGCCGACAAGGCGAACTTCGCCATGCTGCTGAAGGTGCGTTTCCAGCTGGGTGCCGGCATCCTGCCGGCATGTACATGTCCTGTACATGCCGGCACCCTGCCCTGATGACATTCTGCCTCACCGCGTGTGCACGGTCGTCGTTACCTAATAATGGCAGAGAATGCAGTTCTCACGAGGCATGGCCTGTTCCACACAGCAGTGCTATTTGCGATGCACTTGCGGCGGTTGGTAAAATGATCACTTCCTAAGAGCAAGATTTTTCAAAGGCGTCTACGTTCAAGCGTCATCCAAACACACAGGTCTAACGCAACACCATCAGCCACCTGATCAATAAAATGGCAGATCTTTAGTCAACATGTCATCCAACAGTTTGCATCCACTGTCTCGATGCGTGCACACGCGCCAGCTCCGAAGCGTAACACCACCGGTGAATGCAGGAGCTGCGCGAGGTCTTCGACGCCAAGGACAACGACCTGCTCCTGACGGCCGCGGTGGCCGCCCACGACAACATCGTCCAGAAGGCTTACGACGTCGGCAGCATGAACAAGTACCTGGACTTCGTCAATCTGATGACGTTCGACTTCCACGGCGGCTGGGAGCCCATCACTGGCCTGGTGGCGCCGCTCTACGGCTCGGACGCGTCCGACACCAAGAGCGTGGTAGGTAGTGCCGACAGCCGTGACTCTAGGGTGGAGCTGAAATTGCTTCCGATGAAGCCACCGAGGACAAAAGCCTGCTCCATCGCTCAAAGCTCGAATGGGGAAATTTGTTGGCGATCCTGTGAAACCGCGGCGTCTGGCTGCAGGATACCTTTGAGGTTCGCTCATTCGTTTTACGTGGCTCTGGAACTGAGAAAGTCATGCAGGTCGAGCCGTGCTGGGCCTCTGGATCGTTAGTCAGGAGTCGTAAAATTGCCATCAGATGAGGATTTTCTCGCTCCTGTTTTCAGTAGCACGAGGATCATCATATATTACCGAATGAGCCATAGATGCCAGACGTCGGTAAAACTCCAGCGAGTTAAAAGACGGCCAGTCACCCATACTGTGTTGCCGTTGTCGTTTATCGTGGTTTTAGAGCGTGTCGACAAATGAGGTCAGCGACCCGTTGCAACCCGTTCGGGGTTGGGTGCTGTGCACCCTTCGTTGCGCCCTCCAGTCAAGTCCAGCCTGACGGCCTCTCCAGCGTGACGGCCCCGGCGCGCACGACTCACCCGCGTCCCGTGCGTTCCAGGACGCGGCCGTCAAGCTGTACGCCCGCATGGGCCTGGACAAGGCCAAGATGGTGGTGGGCATCCCGTTCTACGGCCAGTCGTACAAGCTGTCCACGGGCGGGCACAGCGTGGCGGCGCCGGCGGCCGGGCCCGGCCTGGCCGGCGAGAAGACGCAGCAGCGGGGTATGCTCGCTTACCACGAGATCTGCTTCAGGCGTGAGTACCCACGGCCTCGCGTCACGAACACGTGATGGTGACGCCCGCGGACGGCACCCGCATGGCCGCCCAAGCCCGCCGCTTTTACCACCGACCGATCATCAAAAACTGTGGAGAAAGACGCACCAATTTAAAAGCTAAAAACGTTTTAAAAAAACGTCAGTATTGCTTTGCATGCTTCTTGCAGTGTTAAATGAGAGCGAATTCGAAGCGGTGCTTTGTGAATATCCAAGCCTAGAATTGGTTAAGGCCGTAAGCTACTTTTACGCGCGTCCTTACTTTAACCATTCGCGTCCTACTTATTCTCGCGGCTGATGTTTTTTGGTTTGCAGTGCGGACTGGCTGGATGTCGAAGAGGACGGCGAACGGAGATCCCTACATGTATCTCAAGGACCAGTGGGTCAGCTACGAGGACGTCCAGTCCATCAAGAAGAAGGCTGACTACATCGCGTCCAATGGTCTCGGTGGAGCCATGGTCTGGACCCTGGGTACGTTTGAATTGTCCAAATGTCGTCGTTGACAAGCTGAGAATAAGCGCCACTGACTGACGCCTCCCTGTTTGACGATCGCTCGCCTGCACCATGTTATTGCGTTAACGCAACCGATGCTTTGGTCCATTATCTAGTTTTAAATGCTGATGCACAATTATCTGAAACGACAGCACTGTGTAAGCGTTGTGTGCTGTTGTCGTGTAAGCAGCGGACACACCGGTGTCGTGTACGGACACAACGACGCCATGCGGGCATGGTGCGTCGTCGTGTGACCGGCCGACACGCCGGTGTCGTATGAACGTCGAGCACACCGTCGCTGTGCGGCCAGCTAACCCGGCGGCGCGCGTGCCGCAGACTTGGACGACTTCGAGAACAAGTGCTGCAGCGAGCCGCAGCCGCTGCTGCGCGCCGTGTCGCGCGCGCTGCGCGGCGTGCCGTCGGGCCCGGTGCAGGCCAGCTGCCAGCAGCCGCCGCCGGCGGTCACGCCCGCGCCGCCTCCGATGACGACTACCTATGACTCCGGCGCTGGTACGCAGCCCCTGTCGGATGGGCCGCTCACAGGGGTGGGGGACGGCCCCAGGGGTGTGGATGGGTCACCTCGCCGCCGTGCTGCCAAACGCGCCGGTCATCCGAGGCAGGGTGTCTGGCGAAAAGCCGTAACGACCCAAGCGGAAGATGACTGTCAGTGTGCGTTGCTATAGTGCGAGGACCCAGTATGGATTTAGGAATACGTGTAACCATTACAGGGCACTTCCGCATGGTTATCTAAGTCGAAACAACCGAATGAATGTGAAATGTAATGTTTGAATATTTCGACTAAGAATGTTTTGCTGGCTTTCAGTTCAGCCCCCGACGACTACGAAACGACCCCGGCCAGCCTTTTCCGAGACCACCACCACCACCACCACCACCACTACCACGACAACTGAGAAGACGACTACCACCGCTCCCACTACCACTACCACCTCCACCACTACCCCAGCAACAACGAGCGCCGCCCCCACCGAAGCTCCGCACATGACAAGCCCGGCGCCTGGCGGTCTCAAGTTCAACGCTATCGGATTCGCGGCCGACCCGGAGAGCTGTTCCTCCTACTATCGCAAGACACCCGAGGGCCCAATCAAACTGACCTGCTCATCGCCACTTCACTTCAACCCGGAGTCGAGCCAGTGCGACTGGCCGGACGCGGTCAAATGCCAGATCAAGCAGGGAGGTGAGTAGACGTGGGCAGCGAAGGACAGGGGGTGGGGCGTGTGTCTGGAGCTGCCAGGAGGGCGGGGTGTAGGGTGTGTGTCTGGAGCTGCCAGGAGGACGAGGTGTGGGGTGTGTGTCTGAAGCTGCCAGGAGGACGAGGTGTGGGGTGTGTGTCTGGAGCTGCCAGGAGGACGAGGTGTGGGGTGTGTGTCTGGAGCTGCCAGGAGGGCAAGGTGTGGGGTGTGTGTCTGGAGCTGCCAGGAGGGCGGGGTGTGGGGTGTGTGTCTGGAGCTGCAAGGAGGACGGGAGGTGGGGTGTGTGTCTGGAGCTGCAAGGAGGACGGAAGGTGGGGTGTGTCTGAAGATGCCAGGCTTAGTTAACACGTAAGCCAGACATGGCCAGAGTATGCTGCTGTCAAGCAATTCATGTGGGATCACGCAAGGTCACTCAAGCGTTAAACACGTAAACCAACAGACTTCCACAAATGATCTCATGTGTGTTCTTATATGCCGAATCTATCTGTCCTCAACAGTTAAGGGAGAGACGGAAGAGATGTCACCAGAAATGGCTGCAAGCAGTTCTACCGAGAATCCCAGCACTTCCACCGCTCCCTCGACTACCACCACGACTACCACCACGACTACCACTACCAAGCCCACCACAATGACCACCACTATGACCACCACAACTAAGAGGCGCACCACGGTCGACGACGTGACGATGGCTCCCGCTGAGAAGCCCATGACAACCTCGGAGAACATCCCGAGGACTGAGAAATGCGAAGATGGTAAGATGTCCGCCGCTTAGATAGTACCTTGTTGCACTTGATTCTGCTCAAGTGGGTTCTGTTCGAGCGTAGCAGAAAGCATTGAAACTTTGTTCTTTCTTTCTGCTTATCATGTAATTCACGCACATCATGTAAGTATGCATACAATCCTCTGCATGATATCATGAATGGTGTCGCGACTTTGGAAACACTTGGTATCAGCAGCCGTCGTTAAAGCTCTCTGATTTTCCTCTCTGCTTTCGCTTCGCTGGGACTGGGGCCGTGGCTACCTCCTGATCACAGATCCAGAAGTGTCGCGAACACAGAGCCCGGCAGAGTGTCCCCGCTCTGACGCCGCCGTTCCGTCTGCAGGCACCTTCAGTCCTATCCCGGGCACCTGCCAAGCGTACAGCTGGTGTCTGGGCGGCGAGAAGCTGACGCAGCAGTGTGCGCCAGGCCTGGTCTGGAATCAGCAGCGCCAGATTTGCGACTGGCCGGAGAACACCGAATGCAGCTCGGGGGGTGAGTATACTGGCGGCGCACGCCGGCCGTGTCACCGTCACGCCGGCCGTGTCACCGTCACGCCGGCCGTGTCACCGTCACGCCGGCCGTGTCACCGTCACGCCGGCACGCTCCGGCCGAGCTGTCTCGGTCAGCGAGGCACTTAGGCACCGTCTTGCGAGGCACTTGACAGCCGGACCGAACTCACCGTGCAGTAGATCCTGAGAGCGTATCAGCACCGTAGTGACTTTGGTGAGCACGTGGTATGGCTGTTGTTATTTTCGTAATGCGTCTTTGGTCCTCTTCAACAATTTCTGTGTCATTTGTTATGAGGAAGCAGGAGGCGTGAGGAGATACCATAGCGATTCCCATATCACTGTATTAGTAGTGTTGTATGGGTTCCAAAAAGGAACGGCAGGTATAGAGCCGCGTATGGAGAGCAGATATACGACTGCGAGGAAAACTATCATGTGAGGCGACTGAAACATCACGAAGCGGAACATTTCCCCACGAACGAGAAGAGTGTCAATTCGTACGGGGCTTGTAGTGTGACCTCTTCCTGCCACCCGACACCTGTTGTGTGACCTCTCCCTCTCACCCAACACTTCCACCGCACTGGAGGTGTTCGCCGTTGTCCGACGGCGCCGCCTGGCGACTCCACCGCGCTGACATCCTGCCGCCGCCTGCCTGCACAGGTGGCGCCACCATGGAGACGCCGTCGGCCATGACTACGGCTTCGGCCCAAGATCAGAGCACGACCAGTGCGATGACAGCCACCGAGAAGCCGGCCATGCCCGACACAGGAATGACCACCCGCGACCCGTGTAAGCGGAGAGTTGGACTCGGATACCGATATCGAAAGGAGACCCACGCGTTACAAAGTTCTTAGCGTAATCCCGCCGGCGATCATGTTCATTAGCCTCTCGAAAATCAACTCAGATCAGCAAACAAGTGTCTGTCGGGTGTGATGTCGCTGCCAGGAGCACCAGGTCATGTGTTGTGAGTCGCAACGACCAAGCGGCACCCGACGGCATCACGCCTCTCAAACTCAACCCCGCGCTGCAGCACTAGGCGTTAAAAGTGCCCACGACGTCCACTGGTGTCCCCTCACCAGCACCTCCTTTTCCAGCCATGTACAAGGTGGTGTGCTACTTCACGAACTGGGCTATGTACCGCCCTGGCACCGGCAAGTACACGCCAGAGAACATCGACCCTAGCCTCTGCACGCACATCGTGTACGGCTTCGCCACGCTCGACTACTCGACCCACAAGATCCGCATCTTCGACCGCTGGGCGGACATCGACGAGCCGAGTAAGGCACCGCACTCTCGCGGTCACGGCACCGGAACCGTGCCCCGGTTCGGGGGAGGGGGTGCTTAAGTCATCGCAAGGCTGAACGGTCCGGATGGGGCGGGCGGTGATATGCGACAAAAGCTGGCGCATCTGCCGTGTGTCGCGCCCGAACGTACCCTGAATGCGATTGATGTTATTTAAGGAATTTCTGACAGGTGGTCCCATACAGACACTCCCCTCCCAAAGCGAACATCGGCACTCTCAGTGTGGGCGATGCAACTCATCGCGCCGACTTCGCAGACATGATGTACAAGAAGGTGACCGATCTGAAGAAGATGGGCAAGAAGGTATTGATCGCGCTCGGCGGCTGGAACGACTCCATGGGCAACAAGTACAGTCTGCTTGTCAACAACCCTGCGTTCAGGAAGATTTTCATCGACGACGTCCTGGAGTTTATCAAGGAACATAACTTTGATGGACTCGACCTGGACTGGGAGTACCCCAAGTGCTGGCAGGTGAGATACCCTCGCTACCCACAGCTGCCGAAGACTTACTAGTGCTAAGGAGAGGAAATGTTAAGTAGCAATGAGAAGTGCAGTGCGTCTTGTCACTTAACGTGACTTCGTCTTGCGCTTGTAATGCGCCACTGCTCACTCTCTTGTGCTCCATGTAGTGTTCGCTTTTCCATACTGATCTATAATGAATTAAGCCGATCTGGTGCCACCCCTGTAGTGGGCCCGACACCGCTAACCTGTCTGGTGCCACCCCTGTAGTGAGCCCGACAGCCCGTCTGGTGCCACCCCTGTAGTGAGCCCGACACCGCTAGCCTGTCTGGCGCCACCCCTGTAGTGCGCCCGACACCGCCAGCCTGTCTGGCGCCACCCCTGTAGTGAGCCCGACACCGCTAGCCTGCCTGGCGCCACCCCTGTAGTGAGCCCGACATCGCTAGCCTGTCTGGCGCGCGCCCTGACGTAAACGGACTACTTGCCAGGTGGACTGCAGCAAGGGCCCCGACAGCGACAAGCCGGCGTTCGCGGCCTGGGTGCGCGAGCTGAAGGAGGCCTTCAAGCCGCATGGCTACCTGCTGTCGGCCGCCGTCTCGCCCAGCAAGCAGGTTATCGACAATGGTCAGTGACGGACACGGCGCCAAGCCGCGCACCACAATCGCACACCCTCTGCGGAGAGCTACAGCTAAATGGCTGGGAGCAGCTGTTTGAAATGTATTTATGGCCGATGATGCTTATTTGTCACTAGGAGTTGAAATTAGGTGTAGTTCGATGCAGCGCAATTGCTTGATCCTTAAGCCTCAACCGTACGGCTACCGGCACATCATGCCACTGTCGTGGACGCAGTGACCCGTAGAAGGTCGCCTATCTAGAGCCCGAAGCCGTCATTTTCTGGGTTGGCCGCCGTTTATCTGTGATGCACCGCTGCACAGGGTATGACGTGGCCGAGGTTAACAAGTACTTGGACTGGATCGCCGTCATGACGTACGACTTCCACGGCCACTGGGACAAGAAGACCGGACACGTGGCACCTTTCGAGGCCCATCCTGAGGACGACTACGACTACTTCAACATGGTGAGTTGCTCTCTGAGGGCATCGAAGCAGTACAACATCCTATGAGCATGCCTGCCTTTCAAAGAGAATGGGCAGTCGTACATGTAAAATGCAGATATTTCTCGCCATTGCCGCCGATGCGAAGCGTACAATTTCTGCCCCCCCCCCCCCCCGCCCTCCACCATTGTCGCTGCTCTGAGGCGTTACCTTTCTGCCGCCCCCCCCCCCCCCTCCTATGAAATGCTGGAGAGTACTTTTTCAGTGTCATCGTGTTGGTGGGAATCTGGAGAGTCCGGTGCCAATATCTATACATAAAACATCGCAAGCATCATCAGTAGTATTGTTGCAATGACAGACGTCGCATACTTGATAGCTGCTTTTTAATGGCGTACAACGGTAGTGAAGAGGCGTGTATTGCGCTTGCCTGCCGCTATATTCGGATTCTGCGATACGGAAACCTGCCGGCCCGACCACCCCACTCAGCGAAGCGTTCTCTCCACAGAAATCAGCCATCGAGTACTGGATCGAAAAGGGCGCCGACGCCAGGAACATCGTGATGGGCATGCCGTTGTACGGCCAGTCCTTCACGCTGACGAGCGCCTCCAACAACGGCCTGAACGCGCCCATCTCGGGTCCGGGCTCGGCCGGCGAGGCCACCCGCGCCCGCGGCTTCCTCTCCTACTACGAGGTGATAATTGCGGAGGTCGGACGACGCCCACACTGGCGCCGGATGCCGGAGAGCTGTGGACTGGAGCGCAGGCCTCGACGTCGTCTGCCCATGCATGCATGGGGGTTATGTATCATTACAGTACACTCGCATAGGCAAGTGGTGATATGGTAGAGTGATTTAATCACCTTGCAGTCACTCTGGAAGTTTTGCAAAGGATGTCCTTTAACAACTACTGTTCTGCAAAAGCAATACGCCTTTGTGCGGTGGGCACCGTCCGGACTGGGGTGTGCGTGAACAGAACGGATTGCTGGCGCCCAGCTGCGGCGCAGCTTAATTCTGTTTCGGCACTGCGTCTGTGCTGAGACCCGTTCTCCGTCTGTTGCCAGATCTGCAAGCGCCAGCAGGAAGGCTGGACGACGGTGCAGGATCCGCTGAATCGCATGGGACCGTACGCCTACAAGGGCAACCAGTGGGTCTCCTTCGACGACGAGGCTTCCATACGGCGCAAGACTCAGTGGATCAAAACGATGGGCCTTGGCGGAGGCATGATCTGGGCGCTCGACCTGGACGATTTCAACGGCGTCTGCTCACAGAAGAAGTACCCGCTGCTGACGATTATCGCGGACGGCCTGCTGAGGAACACCGCCGGAATGGGAGGCGAGACCATGGGTCCTGGATCCGCAGGAATGGGCGCTGAGAAACCAGATATGGGCGTGGAGAAGCCAGATATGGGTGCCGAAAAGCCGGATATGGGCATGGAAAAACCAGATATGGGTGCCGAAAAACCGGATATGGGTACAGAGAAGCCAGATATGGGTGGTGAGAAACCGGACATGGGTGGTGAAAAACCGGACATGGGTGCTGAGAAACCGGATATGGGTGCTGAGAAACCAGATATGGGTATGGAAAAGCCTGATATGGGCACTGGGTCTACGGACATGGGCTCCGGTACGGACATGGGCGCTGAAATGTCCGGGCCGCCTGCACTGGGTCCGTTCGGGCCCGCGGCTGAAGGCGAGTACAAGGTGGTGTGCTACTTCACCAACTGGGCCTGGTACCGGCCCGGCGAGGGCAAGTACAGACCGTCCAACATCGACCCTGACCTCTGCACACACATCATGTACGGCTTTGCCGTGCTCAACGGTGACCAGGGCATCATTCGGCCGCACGACAGCTGGGCCGATCTCGACAACGAGTTCTACGCCAAGGTGACCGAGTTCAAGAAAAAGGGCATCAAGGTGATTCTGGCGCTGGGCGGCTGGAACGACTCCCGCGGTGAGAAATACAGCAAGCTCGTCAACAATCCGGATCGCCGCAGGCGCTTCGTGGAGCAGGCGGTGGAGTTTGTGACGAAGTACAACTTCGACGGCCTCGATCTGGACTGGGAATATCCCAAGTGCTGGCAGGTAAAAACACGAGGCTGGCAGGAAGGTGGCCGAGTGCATGACGGGTTGTGTTTCAGGCAGGTGTGATGGACCTATTTCAGGTCTGATAGTGGCCTCATTATAGTCTCACGGAATGTTTGAGACCAGCTGGCAGCACGGGCCACATAAGCGTACGAAGATTATCCCTTTGAATCGCGTTAATTTCCACATACCGCCTCAATCAGTTGTCTTACCCGTCATCGCACGACATTAAGCCGGAAAAAATATCGGGCTAAGCGATGGGTGGAAATCAGCGACAACGGCCCCAATAATTAGTCCATCTGCCACCGTTCTCGCTACAGTTCTGGAGTTTTGCTTACGAATAGACGCGTGCATTCGTCATCGTAAGAAAACAGAAAATGCTCCGTCTGCACTGGATTGGGTGTGTTATGCATCAGCGCAGTGGCCCGCTGCGGTAACGACTGACCCGATGTGTCCCCCATCAGGTGGACTGCAGCAAGGGCCCCGAGTCGGACAAGACAGCATTCACGGCCTGGATTCGTGAGCTGAAGGAGGCGTTCGAACCGAAGGGCCTGCTGCTCACTGCCGCCGTGTCGCCCAACAAGAAGGTCATCGATGCTGGTACGTTTTAAGGATTGTTAGTGATATCGATTGCCTTGGAAACATACCAAACTTTGACTGCGGTATGCGTTGTGCATGGACACACAGATCCATATTGTTTGGTGGAGCCCGACTTAGACGACTTAATTTGATGCTGACGTGTGCTCCGCGGTGCAGGATACGAGGTGCCCATGCTCTCCAAGTACCTGGACATCATCTCGGTGATGACGTACGACTACCACGGCCACTGGGACAAGAAGACCGGACACGTTGCTCCCATGTATGAACACGCCACCGACGAAGTCAAGTATTTCAACACGGTAAGGCTTCTTGTTTTTGTTTCTTTTCCACTAGCTGTTCATGTAGCTGAACGGGACGCATTAAACAACCTAACATGCACACGGGATGGTTCCAATAAGATTGGGTAAAGAACGAGATGTGACTTATTTTGGCAGATATGCAAACCACCATATTTTTGCATGTCACTAAGAAGAAAACTAATAAGAAACTAATAAGGAAAGTAGTTGACCGGCAGGTGACGCCAGGCCCCGTAAGATTCTGAGGGTTCCAGCACTGCGCACATCCTGACCTGTCACCCACTCGGCAGGACTTCACCATCAAGTACTGGATCGAGCAGGGCGCTGACCCCAAGAAGATTGTGATGGGCATGCCCATGTACGGCCAGTCGTTCGGCCTCGCAGACACGAGCGTGAACGGACTGAACGCGCGGGCGTACGGCAAGGGTGAGGCCGGCCGCTTCACGCGCGCCGGCGGCTTCCTCGCCTACTACGAGATCTGCCACAAGATCAAGACGCAGGACTGGACGGTGGTCAAGGACCCCAAGCTGCGGATGGGCCCGTACGCCTACCGCGGCAGTCAGTGGGTGTCGTTCGACGACGTGGAGACGATCCGCTACAAGTCCAACTACGTCCGCCACATGGGTCTAGGCGGCGGCATGATCTGGGCGCTCGACCTGGACGACTTCAGGAACCGGTGCGGCTGCGAGGCGCACCCGCTGCTCAAGACGATCAACAAACCGCGTGCTGCGCAATAACCCGGAGGGCCAGTCCTGTGAGGTTGGCGGAACTGGTGGTGCAGGCCACCGAGCCGGCCGCCTCCGGGCGAGGTGGGCCCGGAGGGTGCCACCACCACCACTAACCACCACGCCGAAGCCTCCGCCGAAGCCACCCGCGGTGAGTCAGCACGAGGGACCGGAAGGAACCAGGAGAAACTGGAGGGGACTGGAAGGACCGGGAGGGATCGGGAGGGAGTAAACGGGACCCGAGGATGGGGAAGAAGCGAGAGAAATCGGGAAGGACATGGAGACCCGGGAGAAACCGGGAGGGACCAGCAGTGACAGGGCGTGGGGTGTGCTGCTCGGATGCAGGGGGAAGAAGGGCGTTATCTTCATATATTATTAGAGCTGGTAATATGGCTGCCGTCACCGAACATAGCGTGTGGCTGTGCTGGGATGGCTGCTGTCGACAAAAACAATTATATCTGTACAAGGCATGGGTTTGCTAATAAGATCTTACTCTTTCCTCACGTACCTCTTAGACGAGCCATTCCACACTGAGTTCATGGCAACAAGTGTTATGCCGTACAGCCGCCCATACACATTTCAATGTTCAGCATATATTACGTATGCTGTGGGGATCCTGCCGCTACAGCGTCAGCTCACCCGACACTGGTTCCCTTGCTGCCAAGCTCTTCACCAGACAACCGTCCCCACCGGCCAGCTCCTCACCCGACACTGGTCCCCGCTGGCCAGCCCCTTACCTGTGCTCGCGCTTGCAGACCGGCGGGCTCCTGCAGCAACCAGGGCGAGTACCGTCCTCACACCGAACTGCAAACAAATACCTCCTGTGCACCAACAACGAGTACCTCATCATGCCGTGCCCACCGGGCCTGCACTGGAGCGCGCAGGCGGAGATCTGCGACTTCCCCGGGAGTGCCAAATGTGAAGGAAGAAAGAAGAGGCGGCCACCGAGCCGTCAGACCACCTCCACCACTGTAAGTGTAGGACGCAGCTAACTCACGTCCCAGACCCAGACCGTGACTTCCAGGAACGGCCGATCTTGGCCGGGGGCGGAGCTTAAAGTACCAGTTCATGATCTGGTGTACAGCGTTTGTACAGGTTTATTGGCAACTTAGACGGTTCGCAGTGCATGTGGGTGGCAGCAATGTTAGTGGTGAATGTCTTGCCTCGCTCGTTTTGAGAAAGGACGTGGATTTCATTGTTATTACTAGAGTAATCACACAGACAATTTAAAAAGGGTGATTATTGGCGTGCAACATGGAGTACGCCACGACTTATATCACATATACTCCTTAACATTTTTATGTGGCGTCATTTAAAACTAAACACGGGTGGTTACAGCTGGAAGGAAAGGTGGAACCGACGGGGAATGACCAGACGTCTAGGCAATCTCCCAGCACTACTACTACCACGTCCACAACTACCACCTTCCACCGCGTCCACAACCACCACCACGGAGAAGGCCATGGTTCCTGAGATGACGACGGAGAAGGTGGAGATGACAAATGAAGCCGTCTAATGCCTGGAGGACAGAAGGTATTGCCTTTCATTGTGGTGCTGCAGGGATGTGTATCAGGGAATCTCGTCTTACTGTATAATGAACCCAAACATACGTTTGTTTACAGACTTGGGGTACGTCCAGAGATTGTTACAAACACCGTAACAAGTCGTTTTGCGCAGACAAGAAACAGCGTGTTTCATTCATGTCACTTCTGCAACTGCAGCTGTGGAATAAATTATTCCACAGCTTCTTGGGTAATAACAAGTTGTCTTAGCACTCCAAACCCGCATGCAGTCAGGAGGCACCCGCTGCCGTACGCCGACGGTCTATGGGCGCTGACATCGTAACTATCTCGTCCCCACTGCTGAGCTGACGGGCCGCATCTGCTGACTGCTGACGCACGGGCCGCGTCTGCTGACACGCGCTGACGCGGCGTGGTGTCCTTCCCAGGAGCTGCAGTCCTGGCAGCAAGTGCACGCAGGAGGGCGGCAAGTTCCCCAGCGTCGAGTGTGACAAATACTACACCTGCGTGCACGGCTCCCTGATGGACATGTACTGTCCTCCCGGCACTCACTACAACAGGGTAAGGGCACGAGCGGCGCCTGGCGCAGGCTATTCTCGGACGAGGCGAGGGCTGCTTCCAGTGTTGGTAGTGACAGTATTAGTTTGTTGATTTCAGTGCAATTGATCAGAGCACAAGCCAGCCCAGGCAGGTCAGTCTCCTGCTTCCACGCTGGTGTGCATGACCGCCGTAGGTCCATGTGGCCCCCCGCTGACGCACACCGTCTCCTCTGCGCGCAGGAGAAGACTCAGTGCGACTGGCCGGCGTCGGCCAAGTGCCCGACGGCTGGCCAGACGGAGAGCTCGAGCTCCGGCTCTGGGGGTCAGACCATCACCAGCCCGGCCCGGCCTGGTATCACGGTCACCACCACTCCGGCGGCGCCCACCACCAGCACGGAGCCGGGCATGACCCAGGACACCGGCTACAAGGTGGTCTGCTACTTCACCAACTGGGCCTGGTACAGGTGAGCGGCGCCGCGCGAGAGGCTGGCGTGGTCGTCAGGAGGGAAGCGGGGACGTTGCCGAGAGGGACGTCCGCTCGAACTCAGTCGCGTGTTCACCTTCAATGCATGGCTGTATTGGCATCGTCAAGCGCCAATTCATGCAATTCTCTGCGCGGTAGGCCGCATTTCGTTTGACTGCGTTAAATGCAAAATGATTTGGCTCCTCCGCATGTATCAGGGCATAGTTTGTCTTTGTTTGGTGTCCGCTTCATAATAAGCATGGCATTATTGA